TTGCTTCCTGGCGCAGTACCATGTACTTATTCCGTCGAGTTGATCTTTTATGTGTACACTTCTGGCTGTCGATCTGTCGCCGCGACAGACACTCTTTCTAACGCCACTGTTTCCGTACTGGTGGTGACTTGTGCGTTCATGCACTTTTATCTTTCGCTCCTGCATAAACACTTTGCACAGTCGTAAATGATCTTGAACGTCATTTATTTGCTTATATATATCACCCGTCGTCCAGAATGAAGATGGCATACAGACTTTATATGGCAAAGGTATGGTACAGTAGATGTGCTAACTGATGAAATGTCAACCAAAATTTCGAAATGCGTTCTCGTTTCGAAAATATAAATTAAGGAATGTTGTAAAACTACTCAATCTATAATGATCCAGTTACCTCAGGGTGTCGGCTTTCAAAAGAACTTATTTTCGGCTGCATGCAAGATCTATACTCTGCAAAAACTGACTACTTATTTACTATACAATTTTCTCATTGATTTTCGATGTCCTTGAAAACTCAATTATATTTCATGGAAAACATGCATAAAAATATTCATTCTTTTACTTATTTGGTAGAAAAGCACGTCTTCTTCCAATTTCATACTCAAAAGAAGAGTATAGTTCGGTTTTAAAAAAAACTTTTCTAATTTCCGAATAATTTTGAACCCGGCCTGCTGTTACACTTGCATTCAGGGTTTCAAAACTGCAAGCTGTATATTTTCCGTGTACGGAAAACCATGCATTTCTCTACGGTGTTAAGAGGAGACTATATGAGGTTCATAAAATAAAGCAGTGGATTTAAGCAATATTGTTAACTTTACAAGCCACATTCGTAAATGCAGATACATGACGTTTCAGGAACGGCCATTTAACGGTATTAAAAATCTCACAATTTGAAACTTTTTTAAAACCGAAGTATACTCTTCTTTTGAGTATGAAATTGGAAGAAGACGTGATTTTCTACTGAATAAGTAAAATAATGAATATTTTATGCATTTTTTCCATGAAATATAATTTAGTTTTAAAGGGCATCGAAAATCAATGAGAAAATTGCATACTAGATAAGCAGTCATATCTTGCAGAGTATGGATCTTGCATGCAGCTGAAAATAAGTTTTTTCGAAAGCCGACACCCTGAGGTAACTGGATCATTATAGATTTATGCTGCATCATGATTACTTATACAACATTCCTTAATTTATCTTTTCGAAACGAGAACGCATTTCGAAATTTTGGTTGAACTTTTATGAGTTAGTACATCTACTGTATGTAACCCCCTTGGAAAACCCCGGAGCTGTATTGAGTGCCCCGTAAGGGTGTAGGGAAAGCCCGAACGCAACCGCAACCTCAACTTACTTGCCTGTACTTGATACGGCTGCAATCATGTCTGATCTAGCCGGCCTCGATGATGTCACGAACTGTACCCCTCTCCACGCTTGACGATCCGCGGCGGCAGATCTGGGCAGCTCAACCCATTCCCTTCGCCAACGAAGGAGACCGAATACCGAAGGTCCAAGAACCACCTCCATGTCTTAACGAACTGCATCGAGCCAGGTTTTGATCTGACCCCCTCTTCAACGTCTCCAATATGGCAACGGTCCGGATCGAGGGCAGTAAGAGTGAGCTCCTGAGGTAGAGGACGAAGAATATGCCCGAACCACTTCAGTCGACTTTCTTGAATGGCCTGGGTTATTTTTGCCCTTTTGTCGCATCTAGCGCGGACTGTCTCATTTGAGACGAAGTCGGTGAACTTCACTCGAAAGATGGTCCTCAAGCAGTGGCGGTCTAATACCTCCAGTTTACGCTCCTCCTCCAAGCGCAAAGCCCAGCATTCACAACCTCATAAAACATGTCCTATCACAGTACTACGATACAATCCCAACCCTAGCCCTTTAATCTCCAACAAAAAATCCAAAATCCTAGCTCAAACTCACGACCCTAATTCTAAACCCCAACCCCAGCCTCAGCCGCAAATCCAGACTGCAACCCAAGCCTGACAACCTCGGCACTAGGAATAACCCAACGCCTAATACAAACCCTAAATCCTACCGCATGCCTAACTCTAACCCTCAACCAGATCCGGGCAGCTTTGACGTCAATAAGACTAGAGAAGATCAAAATTCGCGCATCACCTGACTGAATTGTCTGCCTTTTGCCATACAGACACTTATGAGCCACAAAATGGCGTTATCAACAAAGACAGGGAAGAATGGGTTGGCCATCTCTAGCTTATTAGCCGTCTTCAGTCAGCCATACCTCACCCCGAGGTGCGCAATCCCTAGGACTCGAGCCCGCAACCTGTCGGCCAGAAGTTCAAATCACTAGCTACTGAGCCAAGAACTCGTTGCACTGTCGCATGTGATCGGATATATACCCTGGTAGATGTGAGCTCAAGAATTACGCTACGGAACTCAATCGTCCCGTTGTGCCGTGGCGCCATACCACACCCACCTAGGAAATATGAGGGGGTTACATGCCCTATTATCACCCTTCAAATATTGCCATTTTCCGGCTGTGCGCTCACTGAAACACAATGCACGGACTCTTTTCAGTGATAGAAATGAAGCTTGTTATTCCAGAGGTACATTTAGAAGAGGGTGTGGTAAGATGTGGTTATCTAGCCGCACCTGATGGACACAATAATATTGATCCAATTAGGTCGGGTAGCAATAGTAATAGACATGCAACATAATCCTGTGGTATTTCGGACTCGCCAGGATGTCGGCTTTTGAATGCACTACTTTTTGACCTCCTGCAGAAACCGCACTCGGTAAAAATGACGACTTATGTAGTATGAATTTTTCACATTGATTTTCGATGGTCTTATCAATTTAAACAGATGCCCTAGGAACCATGCACAAAATAGGCATTCTTTATTTGGCAGATAATCATGTCGTCATATTCCCTATCCGCATAAAGGATACCCATCGATTTAAAAAAAAGTTTCTAATTATAAGAGTTCTAAGACCGTGCAATGTCCACTCGTACCATATCGTACCCGTACGTTAATTACTGCTCCTCGTAAGACGTACAACATTGACCGCATCCATTGCAAAATTCTGTGAACGCAACACGGTATATTCTTAACGGCATAGAGGACTCTACGATTTTCCTTATGTGGAAAGCATGCCCCTTGTAAACTGAAATCGCTTAAGTCTAGTGAAAAAGCTGATCTGATTCAACATTTCTCGGGAATCGGAAAACTTTTTTAAAACCTAAAGATACCCTGGCACTTCTGGTGCTCAAAGTACATCCATGACTCGAGTTGCCTTACACGAAATCCCATTAAGTAAAAATGCGTATGGGACTAAGTGTATTGTCACGAAGTTTGCAAATGGCCTACCGTTCTTTATCTGAATTTGATTTTTTGGGTTTTGGCGTCATATTAATGCAGCCGAAGTAACGATGCATGCGAATATTGCCTATATGGCAGAATAACATCAGGTACTTAGTGCGGCTGATTGTTTTGACTTTTATAACTTACGGTCTACGTCCGGCCCACTTGTTGGTAGTGGTCAAAGTCGGATCACAGGCCTGTTCCTACTGGTATTCTGAAGGACGCGGGGCTCCACCCACAAACCGGGGTAAAGTGCATGCGACTGGCGTCAAAGCATAGACTTTTTCGGAAAAGCGTTTGGTCTGCGTCTAAGGTCCTTAAATTATTGACTGAATGACTGATGCACTTAGCGGAGGCGCCAAAATGTACCCCGAAGCTGTTAGTCCATTATTATCAAACGGACGACGAAAATGGACCTCACGGATGCTTAGGGTCAGACTTTGACATCTTGGCAATACACGGGGGCTACTACTAGCCAACACGTTACGACCGAGAAGGAGGAGTTTTCCTGATAAGAAGTTAGAAGGAGAGGATGAGTAAACAGATTTCTGGCCTCAGCAACAGCTACCACTCAGCTGGGTTGAACAAATGCCGAGGCTGCCTTTTGCTTTGCTCATACACACCCGGACACAAAAATACTGTCCTACTAATTCAGTCTTCCCAGGCATGGCAGTTCAGAAAGCCCTCCCAATCTGTAGCTGCCAGTCCCTGACTATTAACTGCAGGCGAATACACTTCACCTGCTGTTCTTACTAGCCCGCCATATTCTCCCATTCATTATCCACTTTACAAGCAGTTCTCTTCCTTCCTCGTATTCAAAACGTGTCCTTGCAGCCTGGTGTGCGCTGGCAGTTCTTCGGTACACGATCCTCTGGCGGTAGAGGCGTTTGCGCTCTAGCTGGGTATACAGGTCGTGTGCAGGGCTGCCCAGTCATTCGCGTCTTTTCTGTCGTTGGTGGTCAAATTCCTGGTTAGGTGTTTGTTGTGGACCAGGGGGTGTGGATTGGAACGCCTAGGTGTGGTTTCGGCCACGCCACACCCCTGCGCCCTCCCCGTTTCCGGTGTTCTTGACTCTTTCATAACACTCGGCCCAGGTGGCTAGGAGGAGAGAGTGCGGTATATGCTGCGCAAGTCTACTCTTACTTTAAACTAATTCACGCGCAAGTCACCGTGTCTGCTTCATCTTGCTGTGGAGCACACGGTGGACATGACGATCAAACTATGAATCATCCAGAACGTGCAAAATCGGTTGTGGTCCTTCCACACAAAACGCATCATCTAAAAATATGGATCTTTTAGCCACTTTGTCTGGCAGTAGCTTACCGTGAAAAATTTAAAAATCTGTATTTAATTGCACAAGGCAGGTTAAAGCAGTATGAGAACATTCCAGTGGTGACAATCCAGAATTCAGGTTTTCTGGCCTCCGAAGTGAAGGATGTTTCTGTCCATTTCAGTAACCAAGGACAACAGGGTTCAATATAATCGGTCTTTATTGAGTGTGATACTTGTCTAGAACGAGGGGTTGAAACATTGATGTCCGTCTACGATATATATGCATATATATTTTCACAATTGTCAAACAGTAAACGAACAACACTACTTCTGCAAGATAATATCTTTGACAAGAGTAAAGTGAGACGTCCTGCGCAGATCTGCCGCCGGTACTTCCATTACGGCGCAGCGTCTGAGCGAGATCTATAATCCCGATGGTGTTGGAATCGGCGGCTTGTAAAGAATTTCATTGTCCTTCTCTGGCCGGCGTCTGGACACAGGATCAGTTGAAAAAGCAGAGCCGCAGTGATACTTCCCAGAAATGGAACAAACGTGTGAATCTGCAAGCAAGACAAAAAGCAATGCTATTTATATTCACTTGGTGTATGCTTGCGACAAGCCCTGAAAACTGACCGCAGGGGGTGATATAAAAATAAAATTTTATCCTTCAACGCTGTAAATTCCTTGCCCCGCTAAGGGTGAGGAGTATGTCCACTGCACTAACCAGTCCTTACGTACGATTGGTTCTCATTCGGAATCTCTGCCATAGTAATTTGTAAACCACACATTCTAAGTGAATTTATGAACATTGTTAGCAATACGCTAACATTTTAGACAGGTATGTCTAAATGACTGCAGAAAATGTAATCATTGAGGCTTTAATGATTTTGGGCTTAGAAACGTGTAAGGAAAACTATGGATTCATGGAACAGCTTACCAAAACATTGGCATATTTACCCCGTATGACCGATGGAGCCAGAAATACTGCTGGGTTGAATCCACATGGAAATTGTGTACCCTTCAAATAAACGTAAATCAAATGAGTGAGGTTAATTCCAATTTTTGCAACAATTCGTTCCCAGAAAGTCCCATTTTAGAAAGTTTTTTACAGCATATCGAATTAAATAAAGTGATGTTGTATTTGTAAAATCTTGCATACGATCTTTAATGCAACATCTGTAGTGGACAGCCATAATGGCTACGTCGCGCCTCTCGCTAGCGCCTGCACCTACGTCCTAGCGACAGCCTGCTATGGCACGCACGTCCGCTCGGCCTCGATTTGTCCGTTTCAATTCACTGTATGCACCATGCATTCGGTCGATTTTCTGCCTGCACCACGCGAGGCTTGTCACTACCTTCACGTGGGCTCGGAGCCAATCAACGCAACTCCTATCGCTGATTGGTAAGACAAGCGGGAACAGTCCAGAACAATAGAGTAAACAAACTGCAAAAAAACTTTTGCAGCGGTGAAAGAAAGAAAGCAAGTTTGCCGGAACAGACTTAGTGTGTTGCGGACGTTTCGGAGTACTTGGTTGAATCCTCACTATCAAATTGTTTGAGGCGGAATTTGAAATTTCCAGCGCAGTCAATCGTCTTTGGGCTAATTGAGCCTTTTCCTCTTTCGCTGCCTCGGTAGTTTGAGAGGTTTTCGCGTTATGTGTTGTCACTCCAAAAGAGGATTATTCGACTTCTGACTCCCATTCGGGTGAATTCGTCGTCAAGTCGGGTCTGCTCAGTTTTTATGAATTTAGTGTAACTGTCCTGTTTCGGTCTTTGTGCATCTAATTGTTATGACTAGGCATGGCACTCAGAATCACGCGGATCGTATTCGCACTTGACCATTGTTTCAGATACCGACAAGGCGGAGAAGGAGGATACGACCGGCCACTAGAAATGCATTAGAAACCTGCAAGTCATTCTAACTGGGAAAATAATGCGTATTGGTAACACCCGATTGGGGTTCACCTGTTTTCGGTCCAATGGGCTTCGAGAAGAAAATTTTAGACGGACTGATCAATTTTTTGCGAGCACGGACCAATCGGGTTTAATGGGAGCGGCCAATGGCGAGCTGCCGTCATCATGTTGACAGCATGCAAGAAAAGGAGCACTCAGCCTCCAGTGATTGGCTGGCTCTTGTTTCTGGGAGTGTAGACACCCCCAACAGTAATGGCGAAGGAAGTGCTAGACGTGTGCTGGTGGAGTTGTCCGAAACACTAGAAACACCATAACTCTGCTGCAGTCAGCTCTGTCTCTTTCTCACATGATTATTTTGTTTATAACTACTGTTAGGATTTTATTGCGTGGAACACTATAGATGCATAAATGTTTTGGGGATGGATCAGTTGGAGTGCGAAAGAGAAATAAAGACGGAAACTTAACGAAAAGGTAGCATGGGTACATTTCGAAAAAAATGCTGCGAGTATTCTGTTATGCCGCACAGATCGATGTAATCCGTCTCCCATATGAGCTTGATTATTTCTAATATAGTCTGCCGCTGCAGAACCGTGATCCAGAAGCAAGAGCCCTGAAACTCGGTTCTCAAGGGTCGAATATGCGTGACTTTGGTGTGGACCAGTTTGCGCACGGAAGCTACTTCCTAAATCTGCCCACAAATTTCGATGCGATTAGGTATTCCTCAAAGTCATTTTAAAAATGCGTTAAACAAAGCTGACACCAATTAGGCAATATTCGCTTCGGGACTTCCTCTGCCATTACGAATAGCCGTGATCCGGAAGCTGAGCAATGCTGTTCCAAAGTAACTTTAGTTCATTGAATAATTTTTTTCAATGTCGGCACACTCGAAAGCAGCGAAAATTTAAGGTTTCGAGAAGTTCATATTGACACAACTGTGAAAAACTCGGCGCCTCGGTGGGATTCGAACCCACGCAGTAGGCGGAAGGCTATAGCGCAGCCAACGCTCTAACCACCTGAGCTACGAGGCCCCGACGGACGACACGAATTTAATCACATTTGGGTCAGTGAGTTTCGAGAAGTGTCACAGTGTTGTGAATGTTAATTTTTTATGCGCCGTGCCCAACTTAGTCACTCTAAAAACCCCTAATAAGTATCTATAACGAATGCGTACACTTTCCCCCTGTTCAAAGATTGTTTTCGACCTTTGATCCCCACTTAAAAACTAGCAAATAAGCATGAAGATTATGCGTACAATAACTGTAGTGTTGTAGGTACCCAGAGATATGCAGTTGTCCATACGGAACTGTTAAACAATAATTGTCTCGTCCGCATAAAGCATGCACATTGCGTCTGGGCTGCCATGGGACTAAACTATGCGTTCTTCGGAAAGATAAAAATCCGGGTTAATAGAAGCTTTTTTTCAAGAGGTTTAATGTTGTCCTGTTTTCGTCAGAACATTACAATCGAAAAAAGTTCGCATTTATAATAACGCAAAAATAATTAGAAGTGTAAAATATTTCTACTCAACTTTGGACAGTAGCACTGTTAGTAATTTCCATTACAAAAGCATACACTTACAAATGCCGCTGAGTTGACCATGGCCATTAAACCGATGGCTAGACAACTATTAAAACCGGCACCTGACCAGGCGTCTGGACGACGAGAGTCAGCCGACACCAGTACGATGAGGTTGAAGATGGTGCTGGCTAGGTACTCTGAAAGCACCTGCAGTGGCGTACTGCCCAACGCCGTCCCACTAGGTGGATCCGAGGGCCCAGCACTGCCGTCAAGAAAGGCATGCGCGAGGGCGGCTCCGGCGAAGGCTCCCGCGTATTGAGCTGCCCAATAAATGGGCAGATAGACGAAAGAGACAATGCGGCAGAGAGTGAGTGCCAGTGTAACTGAAGGATTCACGTGTCCGCCGCTGATTGGACCAGCCAACCAGATGCCCAGCGCCAGTGACGAGGGAATGACAACGGCGGCTGGAAGGCTTGCGCTTTCAATCTCAGCCATACGAACGGCAGCGAAGGTAATCACTCCAATTCCAAGCATTTCAGCCACGCATTGGCGGACAAGCTGCCAGGCCTGCGCCTTAGAACATTGAGGTATCTCACTGACGGGGTTCACTGACGGCAGTCCTTCGCCTTTGATATTGTCGGTGTCCAATGAAGGCGGCGGATCTGCAGTCAGCAGGAAAAGAAGAGCATAAAAGGGATTGCTACTAAATGCCTTTTGGAGTCCCCAATTTCTGTGAATTTCAGCAGAAACTAAACAGGCATCTGTTTGAAGTATCCCATACGGTTATACATCATCCGACTTAATCTACTAAGTGCTGCCCCTAAGAAATTGAGGTCCCTCTGTCGGCATGTTTGTCGTGCACGACGTCATTTTTGTAGATACCCAAATATTTTAGGTTGTTTTGGTATTAATTTTTCCAGAAAATAATGGAATATTACGGGTCATCATTTCAAAGCTGCTGAACAATTGTCGTCTGCCAACGTAAACACAGATTATCAAAGACTGTACCAGCCAGCAACTAAGCAGTGCGACCGACCATGCGACCGACAGCAACCATGCGCAGCAAAATAATGCGAGTGAAAGAACGACTAGACATAGGAGAACAGTCGGTTGTCGTTTATCGTATCACATGTCGGGAGTGACCTCGCCATTACAAAGGACAGACCGGTCGACGGCTTAGTTCGCACTAGACGGAGCATAAACGGGCAGTCCGGAGAGGCGACCCGTTGTCTCAAGTCCCCACTCACACCCTGGAGTGAGGCCACGAATTCGACTTCGCGAGCACGCGGATAGTGGCGCGGGTCAGCGATAAGGCAGAACGAGAACTGCTGGAGGCCTGGGTGTCTGACAGAAACTCTATCAACAGACACGTTATTATACCCCCCCTGCTATCACGCGCTCCGTTCTCGCGGTCAAGAGGCCAAACCCAACTCCCAGCCAAGGATGCACGCTGTTACGCCGCCGTAAGACGCCGTGGACTCACCCTTCATCGCTTGACTATAAAAAGTACTCATTTGACGCCGCATTCTCACAGTCCCTGACGATGGCCTCCCGTACGTACCGTCCCAGAGATCGTGTGTTCATCTTCTTTTCTATGGGGTGCAATCATCGCGTTGGCTTAATGCAACAGTCAAATTATTAATGTGTTTTGTCTGGGTATATCACCGTTTGTTGTGTCTCAACGAGTTTACGTTAATTATTGGGAACGCAAACATTCGGACTTTGTACTTTTCGATACTTTGGTATGATGCTGTATAAAGGAAATATTTATGACTTTGACACCCGAGCTAACCACACTAATGGCAAGTTGCCATTCACCGAAAATGGAGTAGCATCGCCTTGGTTAGAGAGGATTCAAATTATTAATAAGATTTGCCTGGGTAAATCACCGATATAGACGTAAACCAAGACTGTATGAAAAGCAAATGTGAACATCGTTTTGCAGGTAGACAAAGGCAGTAAGCTGCAACCGCATACATTTGAAAAAGATATTTGAAATAATGGAAAAACTAGTTTCCCTGAAAACGTTATCAACTTTTCTTCGGAGCAAATGCGCCATTTGCGTCCACATCTAATCTCTTTTTTCATGATACATCTCCGTATTAATTAAAACTTCAATCTTACGCATGTCATAACGAATTCAGACAGTGTTCCTCTGAGATGTTGCCTGTGACTTTTGGACTTGAAACAAATTCGTCGAGATATTTCAAAATCCTGTTTCCTTTTTTAACTGATTGATAAAAAGGAAGATATTAAAAGACACCGAAAAAGACCTTTTGCTGCATGAAAAGTCATCAAAAGTGGATAAATTTACAACAGTATTGCCATTTACGGATTTCTTAGATCGTAGCCATAATCGGCGAATATTTTAGGACTAGGCGAAAGCTTGCATTCCAAAAACCAATGCAATAAAAATACTACCAAACCTCTCATTACATCTGTTTATTTAGACGGCGTTAAGTGCTCAGCTAATTACAGTTAATGCATCTCCCTTTCCGTTCGAAAAAAACTGCAATCAGCTGATATCTACTCATCTATAAGGTAAACACACGCAGTTGCAATGGTGATGCTTCCACTATCCAAACAGCATTTAAGTCGCCTTTCTGCACTTGTATTGTTTATATGCACTTCATCATATTTGGTTACACTAAATACCCAAATATTGCACTCTATCATCCCAGCCATTTGCTAAAGTTAACGTCGTTACACCATTTACACGGGAAATGTACTCATTTCTGAATTTTTCAGTGAGATTTGCATATGAGAGGTGTATGAGTTAGAAGCCCAACAATGCTCCCGTAGGCAAAATCCCGAGTTTCGGGCATAAACTATATATAAACCATAGGACGCCTAAGAAGCTGCTTAAATATCTTTTGTAAGCTCTAAGCACTGTCTGTGAAGTCATGATGGAATTTATTGCAATATCGACTTCCATTTACGTCAAAAAACCTCATTGAACTTTCGTTCTTCAAATTTTCATGAAAGTTTGAACAGTCAACCCACAGAGTTCATCGTTTGTTTTTTTCAAAAAAATCCTTAAATTACCGCCTCGAAAGACAACATAATACTTTGTCAACTCGCGGCTACAGTGCTAGCATCCATAAAACAGAATAGCGAGGAAATTGGCGTGCTCAAACCTAACATGTGCGGTCAAATTTCGTTAAACATAAGCATGCATTAAATGCTTTGCTTGCTTGTTTAACTGTAATGCCAGTTTACGGGAAACAGATTTATTGATCAAGAAAAGTACCCTCGCAGCATGTTTGCCATTGTTTCTCTAAGTCACAATACCTTGCCCATTAAACAGATCAAGCACGCATTTGCGGAGGCTAAACCCAAACTCACGCACTACAAACCCCCTTTGAGAACCCGGTTACACTTTCGACCTTCAAGTAGCGGCCATCTTTTGCTGCGGCACCCAAGGGACAGGACGTCACGCATTTGGCACGTGGAAGTATTCGGATGCCATTTCCATTAATAGGCGTCCATACCTTCTTACCATCAATAATATCCAGCGTCACTACGCATACAAATACGAGGACAAGATGGCCACTGCCTCCCGGGAAGACCTCATCCCGAGGGAAAGCAGAAATTCAACTACCCTTCATGGAGGTGATGGAGTTTAACGAAGGTCGTTACCTCCTCCAAATATCCAACAGAAGGCCGGGGCAATGAAAGAATAAAATTTATCAGATCGAGATCAACCAGCACGACCAATCAATAAAATTTCTTTCCGATTTTTGATGAAAGACGTTTTGATAATAGAGAGCCGGCCCGTTTTCCAGAAGGCCAGCCACAATATTAGCCGTATCTCCGTGATATTCTCCATTGCATCAGATCAGTACCCAGGAACTCTCATCTTGGTGAACCTGGAGCTATTTTTATTGCCAAAAAACCCAAAAATATATTTCTGGCAATCAAACAACGGGCAAAAGTTTTATGGTACGATTCAAAATCTCAGCGCTCTGCCTACCTTGAAAACATTCTTTTCTATGAGTGACCTCTCTCAGTAATGTCGTATTCGCTAATCGGAATAAGGTCTGGAACATCACAATTTAAGCCACCACTATTTCACGAGTGGTATAAAGATGTCTATCTAGGCAGTCGCTTCTTCAATAAGAACTGAAGGTACTTCTTATTCAAATGAAATGTCTCAACAGTTCGTAAGAAGACTTTTTCCTTAGGAAAGAATATGTTGCCATTAGAAAAAAATGCAATTATGCGTTCGCCTAAGGAGAATTTAAAAAAAATGGAAAAGTAGCCCATTTTACAATAAAGTAACTTGGGCTCGACACTTTTGTCCTGCTTGATCGCAAAGTTTTTGTGCATAGCTCATCTTAGAAATTTGAATAAAGGTAATTCGGCCGGGTTTGCCGCTGGCATTGAAACCCTATCCCGCACTTAGTGTTCCTTCTGTAAACTGCATTCCAGGGAGGTAAATCATCTTGCCAAACAGAACACCAAAGTATCAGTAAGATCCCTTAAGTGCTTAAAATCGTGGTTCCACGAGGAAGCTGGAATCCAAATTCCATTAGAGAACTGCATTTTAAAAATTCTATTTTCCCCAGATGGTGAGGAGGAACTGATCTAAATTTTTGGACGCCGTATATGAGCAAAAAGCACGTTTCACAGGTGAAAAACGGACCAACATGGGAACACCTTTTGCGCACTTAACTACGCGAACACCGTGACTAGGATTCTTGGCATTTGTCTTTCACAACAACATAATCAAAATAAAAAAATGTCTGTTAGTACTTTTTTCGCCCGCTTCAAATTAAATATTCGAAAACATTTGGAGTGGGTCTACATCAGAAAACTAAGAACAAATTATACGTTTGTGGATGTCGATAGCTTTGTGACGAAAAACTCATATAGGGCGGTTAATGGTCATTGACTTGGTGGTAAATAGACACAACAGTGTGGTATGCAAACTACCTACTTCCGCTGGAAGCAAATATTTTGTACTGTACATTTACCGAGCGAAGTTTCAGCCCCCAAACTGATGACCTTTTTGGGCAATTTAAGTCTAAATACACCTTGCTAACATACCACCAAAGCAAGATCTATTTCTAAAAACGGAGTTTGTATGCGCGATATTGAAAATCGGAAACTTCGCATAGACTTGCAATAAAGTTTAATACACTGTCGTTGCAGTTGATTAACTGGTTTGCCAGAGTGGAGGAACTGAACACTTCTTTTTGTTTCCTTTGTTTAATGTCCTAGTTACAATATTTTCACTTACAATACCCTTCGTATTGTATGCCAAGTCGTCACTTTTAGTTGACAAATTCGCGAATGCCTCGTTTGACATGTTTCGTTACAGTTAGAAGTACAGTTTAATAAACTGCCTTTTGAAGATGCGAGGCTAGACGATAATGGGAAGAAGACAATACCCTTTATTGTTGTTCTCATGATACTAGAATCATGCTTGGTAAGAGTCCTAGTTTATTATCCATTTGTGTGAATAACCACCAGGGTTTTTTTCAGACATTTGCAAGTAGGGGGCGTTATAAGTGACGATACTGCCTAAGGAGTTCTGTTGCCACTAGATTTGTAAGAATAAAGCTTAGTCGTTAAGTTCGTTTAAGCTGGTGACGTTTTATCAAAATACTTCTAAAATAATCAAAGTAGGGGGTTTGAATGCATAGTTACGAATGTGGAACTTGTAGACACCTCTTTAGAAATTGAACTAGACCTGAAAGCCACAAGGGGAAGGCTAGGGGAACAACTTACGAGCTGAACAACTGTAGATAAAACGTATTTTAGATTTAAGCTTGTATGATTTAGAAATTCGATGAAAATACTTCATGGATTATAGGCAATATAGCCCAAAATGTTTAGACGCGCGGACTACCATGCCGCTATATTTCATCGCAACCAACTCAAGCATTTGCATAGAATTCTAGGTTGATAGACTCTTTGCCTCAAGTTTTCACGTTGATAGCAAGCATTCGGTAGAGTTCACACTTTTACATCTACCTGGTTTTCGATACAACGGATTTTATTAGCCTGTGTAATGCAAGCATTTAGTTTGATAAAGTTGCCAAAGCATCGGAATCTAGTGCTGATAGCACACGGAACGGGCGCGGCTAAACACCGTTTTCAGTGACAAAAGCAACGAGCTAAATTGCTGATTAATTATCACGTCATATCTCAACGCCAACGACAAAATTGAGGCAGCTAACGACTCGGATGCGACTGAACAATGCCGGCCAGATAATTATGGTAGGTGTCTGTGGCCAGGGAATGACATTCTGTGAATGCTGCGCCCATAATCTTTACCTGCGACTGCTTTTGATGATGATTTTCAGGAAGGATGCAAAACGCCCAGATGAATGAGCCTCCTGTTAAAATCATCGACTCTCTTCAATTGGTTACCGGAAGGCAATTTTTGTTTTTGTAGACACTAAATAAAATATTGACCAACCAGATTGTGTCATATATAAAATAGATTATTATTCGCTAGCAGTGCAATACACAGTGAGGCATCCTAATATATATTTATATATAATGGTAGGGGACGCTCCCCGATCGTTCTTACGGAACTTACTCGTTCCGTTGTGCCTTGCGAGGTCTCTATTCAGCCCAACCAACAGCAGCACAGCAACGCATGTTATATAGGCAGAATGGTATTACCGACAAAGAGAAGGGAGACTGGAGTGGCCACTTCTGGTTTATAGGCCGTCGTCAGTCAGTCATACTTAACTTCGAAGTGTGGAACACCTGGGATTCGAACTCGCGACCTGTTAGTTAGAAGTCCATTGCTTCTACCCACGGGGCCACAGGTTCATTGTCCGGTCGGTTTCGAGCGGAAATATACAATGGTCGAGGGCGCTCATCGATCGTTCTTGCGGAACTGATTCGTTCCGTTGTGCCTTGCGGGCTCTCTCTCTCGAGTCCAACCAGCAGCCACACAGCGGCGCATGATATAAGCAGAATGATCGGGTATGACTGGCTAACGACGACTATAAATACAAAAATGGCCACCCCAGTCTCCCTAGCCTTTGTCGGTAATAACATAGTGCCTTTATCATGCGCCGCTACGCAATCGCTGGTTGGGCTTGAGAGAGAGTCTTCAAGGCACAACGTAACGAGTGAGTTTCTTGAGAACGATCGTTGACCGTCCCCTACCATTGTATATTCCCGATCGAAACCCACAGGACAACGGACCCCCGGCCCAGTGGTTATAGGCGATGAACTTCTAACTAACCGGTCGCGAGTTCGAGTCCTAGGTGTTCCACATTTCAAAGCTGGGTATGACTGTCTGTGAACGGCTAGTAAGCCCGAAACGGTCATTACAGTCTCCCTTGCCTAGGTCGGTAAAACTATTTTGCAGGTGGCGAGGCACTGATGAACTTCGGTTCGATGATCCATCTGGTAGACCCCAGCAGCAGATTTCAAGTTAAAAGACAGCACAAATAAAATCAAACATTTAGACTCTTCCTTTGGTTCAGAGTAAACTATATTAAATCGAAATCCTTGAGCATCAAAGGTCGGATAACCACACATTCGTGCTGCCGAAAAAACGGTAATTACACGTTAGTTACCTACAAGCACCTCTGCTTCCAAATGTTCCTCGTCCATCGGTGCTACTTAGCCTACCTGCCGGGGTATTTATAGTGCATTGGCTCCAACCAGCGGAAAGGCATAGCAAATTTTGGCAACGAATAGTAGAGGTCACCTGATGTTAAAAAGGCACCCGGGGTCACCTATGAGGACATTTGGCCGTTGCAAGGTCTCACCCGTACTTTGTCGGACAGCGGAAAATAAGCTGTACTTATAAAAGCATCAGCTTTTGGGGTTTTTGAGCACTTTCGGGTGTGGGCTTTGACGTCAGAATGCGCCGAAAACATGCACAGAATGATTTCGATAAGCCTTCCTGCACAGAACCAGGCCGATTTTAAATTTAGCTGTAATACCCCATTAATGGCGACTACGACCAAAAATTGAATATATGTGCAGTGCGTACTTTATCTGAAACATGTAGCTGATTATTCTCTGTTTTATTATTGCGTCTCATAAAATACGCAACGGGTTTATACCTGCAAAAGCAGTCGGAAAACGCCAGAGAACTGTGTGTCGAGGCCCGAAATCTATGACCTATAACTTTGCCATACGATATTAGGCAAAAAAACCCGCGTTTATAATAAAACTAAGCGTTTTTAAAAGTGAGATATTTGGTGCACGCGGGCTCGAATTTCAATAAAGTGCAATCTTGTATGACGAGAGTGAACGATATACAGTCTTTATAATTATGTATGATGGAACCTACACGCACTGGGCGGTTAATGACTTTTTGAGATGAAATAGGCACAGCTTAGGAAATGACATTCTCCTGGAGGACGATATACTCTTTTCATCAAGGCTGACGGTTCCATGTGCCTGGTCTAAAATAGACCTATCGGATATGCCGTGAAATGTCCAGAAAACGAGCCATTTAAAACTACCGACTTTCGTCTGTAGAAATGATAAAATTGAGATGAGAAATAATAAACAACCCGTAGGTAAGTGGTCTAGAAATAACGTTTAGGGCTGACTAAGGGGTAATGAACAGCAAAAGATGAAATGTCATCCAAAATGTCAAAATGTGTTCTCGGTTCGAAAAGACTGATTAAGTAGGCTTGTTAAACGCAATCATCATGCAGCATAATTCTACAATAATTCAGGAGGCCGCAGTTCCAAGGAACCTTTTTTCTACTTCATGCAAAATCTATGCATTACATAAAACGACTACTTACTTGGCATGCATTTTTTTCATTGGGTTTCAATGCTTTTAAAAATTCAATTGTGCTGCATTGGAAACAGGCATAAAAATATTCAATCTTTGCTCATTTGGTAGAAAATGACATCTTCTTTAAAGTTTATACTCGAAGGAGCGTGTACTTCGGTTCTCAAAAGCTTTTCCAATTCCCAAATAATTTTGAACTCGACCTGCACTAACACTTAAATTCGGGGTTTTTAAACTACAAGCCGTAAATTTTCCGCGTAAGGAAAAGCAGGCATTTCTCTACAGTATTAAGAGGAGACCATATGGGTTTCATAAAATTAAGTGGTGGATTTGAGCAGAATTGTTATATTTGCAAACCCTGTTAACAAATGCAGAGGCACGATGTTTTATGAACGGTCATTTCATGGTATTAAATAATCTCACAATTAGAACCATTATTTAAACCGAGCCATACACTTCCTTCGAGTATAAAGTTGAAAGAAAACGTCATTTTCTATGGAATTAGTAAAAGAATAAATATCGTTATGCTTGAAATATAGTTGAAGCTTTAAAGGCATCGAAAATCAATGAGACAACTGCATGCTGCTTAAGTGGTTATTTTTACAGAATATAATTTGTGCATGTAGTTGAAAAAAGTTCCTTCAAAAGCCGGCATCCTGAGATAACGATTATTGTAGAAGTACGCCGCATGATGATCGGGTTTAACAACCTTACTTAACTAATCTTTTCGAAGTGGGAGTGCATTTTGAAATTTCGGCTGACATTTCATGAGTAAGGCTACCTACTATAATATTCCACTCTTCCTGGGCAAAACCTGTGGTCTGTACTGCATAGCATAGTATGGCTGGAAGGTCTAGGGTTACGCTTGAAAGCATTTATATCCTCACGGCAGCAGTCGAGCTCGGAAATTCAACCGGGTCTGCGCGATTAGATTCCAAAGTTAATGCTTTCTCCGGCGACTGGGATGAGGTATTTAGAAAACCGGAACATACAGTAGATGTGCTAACTCATGAAATGCCAACCAAAATTTCGAAATGCGTTCTCGTTTCGAAAAGATAAATTAAATAGTGTTGTAAAATTAATCATGATGTTGCATAAATCTATGATGATCTAGTTGCCTCAGGGTGTCAGCTTTCGAAGGAACTTATCTTTGGCTGCATGCAAGATCTATACTCTGCAAAAAAGGACTACTTATGTAGTATGCAATTTTCTCATTGGTTTTCGATGCCCTTTAAAATTCAATTATATTTCATGGAAAACATGCATAAAAATATGCATTCTTTTACTTCTTCGGTAGAACATCACGTCTTCTCCCAATTTCATACTCAAAAGAAGAGTATAATACAGTTTTAAAAAACTTTTCTAATTTCTGAGTAATTTTGAACCCGACCTGCTGTTACACTTGCATTCAGGGTTTAAAAACTATAAGCTGTATATTTTCCGTGTACGGAAAACCATGCATTTCTCTACGGTGTTAAGATGAGACCATATGAGCTTCATAAAATTAAGCAGTGGATTTGAGTAATATCGTTAACTTTACAACCCGCATTCGTAAATGCAGATACATGGCGTTTCATGAACGGCCATTTAACGGAATTCAAAAATCTCACAATTAAAAACCTTTTTGAAACCGAATTATACTCTTCTTTTGAGTATGAAATTGGACGAAGACGTGATTTGCTATTGAATAAGTAAAAGAATGAACATTTTATATATGTTTTCCGTGAAATATAATTTAATTTTCAGGGGCATAGAAAATCTATGAGAAAATTTCATACTACATCAGTAGTCATTTTTTGCAGAGTATAGATCTTGCATGCAGCCGAAAATAAGTTCTTTCGAAAGCCGACACCCTGGGGTAACTGGATCATAATAGATTTATGCTCCATCATGATTAGTTTTACAACACTACTTACTTTATCTTTTCGAAACTAGAAAGCATTTCGAAATTTTCTTTGTCATTTCATGAGTTAGCACGTCTACTGTTAGTCCCTGATGCAGAGTAAAACAACGCAACGGGACCCTTGTACTAAAGCGCCCCGACGCCATACCCCGAGATGGGTATCATATTGCTTGATGGATGACATACGGTGCTGGGGAATAATTCTAAAAGATCCCTCTATCCAGTTTGGTTTAATGCTGAATTTCATGTTCCTTTGACACTCGTGGGTCGACCGTTCTGTAAATAACAGTCGAGTATGTATAGAACGGGTAGCATAGGAACCTCCCTGCACATTGCCACCACGCATACATCACAGCTAAAGTACCAAACTGTCGTCAGCGTTACTTGAATTCATACTACTAATCTGAAATTCAAAACAACGTCAGGTGGAGAGCACTGACGTAACACATGCCACTGCAACATGCATAGCAATCACCTTGGCGATAGAATGGAAAAGTGCAAACACAAAATACAGCCTGACGGCTCACGTGGACTGCATACCCGCCCTCTCACTGTGTAGGTGGGTCATTCCAAACAGTCTCGGCAGCATGTCCGCTTTCATGCATAATTAACAGACAAAGTTTTAGATAGCGACCAACATCGCGACCGGCAGAATAACAAGCAGATTGTTCAGCAGTGGCTCGTCCACCCGTGAGATAGAGTAGGTAGGCTAACTCATGAAATGTCAACCGAAATTCCGAAATGCGTTTTCCTTTTGAAAAGAGTAATTAAGTAGGGTTATAAAACTGATCATCATGCCTCCAAATTCTAGTATGTTTCAGTTACCTCAGGGCGTTGGATTTTGAATGAACTTATTTCCGACTGCATGCAAGAACAATACTCTGCAAAAAATGACTACTTAACTAGCATGCATTTTTCTCATTGATTTTTGATCCCCTTAAAAGTCAAATACTTGTTCATGTAAAACATGCAGAAAATATTCATTCTTTCGCTCATTCGGTAGAAATGACGTCTTTTTCCAGTGTTATGCTCGGAGGAAGGGTATTGGTCGGTTTATCTAAAAGCAACTTTTTAAAAACGATTATTCTTTCGGGTGACAGTTATATTACGTGTCGGGTTAGGCAAAAGTAACCAGGCGGTTAATCGCCGTTTAGCCTTAAAATCACTGGCTGCTATTTAGACGATTGGCCGCCCGGTTGCTTGATGAAAAAATGTTGTTAGACCGAGCAGTTGTTGTCAATAAATCTTAACGGTGTCAGTTGACTTGATTGCTCGTAAGAAATGTGTATTTATATGTCTCTGTTTCAGAAAAATATAGTGCTATAAAAATGGTAGAGATAAATAATCGCTGACCGACAACCGACAGACCTGTCTTTCAATCAAAAACGTTTTTCCAAACAGACAAAGACAGTCAGTTACGTCGCTGATTTTGAAAAATATTTGGTTGGACATTAAAAAAGACACGGAAGGCAGTTTTATTCACTGCTTTGAATCAACAGGTTTTTGCGATGACCTTCCTAGAACTGTTTGTAGCTTTTAGGCTTGGAGCAGTTTTTGCTCGTAGTCCGTGAAAGTCGACAAAAGGAGCTTTAAAGAACTTGACATCTCCTAAACGTCCATTGTGAAAATGTTGCACAAAGCAAAATCCTGACGTAGGTCATTCCAAACAGTCGCGGCAGCACGTCAACAGTCATGCATAATTTGTAGAAATAATTTGAGACAGTGACGAACATGGAGACCGGCAGAACAATAATCAGATTGTTCAGCATAAGTCCGTCCACCCATTAAATACATATCAGAGTCTAATTATTTGACGTCTCCGGATTTGTTTGATGGTTAAGGCAAGCAAAAGAAAGATGTCAACGGGGACTTGCCTGCAAACTGAAGCAGGCACGCACGACAGGCTTTATCGTTATCAAAAAATTAGTCGACCGCCCGTCAACGAGTGGAATGAATATAACCGTTTGCTATTCGTGCAGAAAATCAAGGCAGAAACAAGGTCATGGTTTTGAGTAATGCTGGCTAATCGACAAGATTAGGAACTTTAACGTAGTATTGGAGGAATAGTGGGAAAAAACGTTAACGATCAAGAAAATAGGGGAATGTGAATATCATGGAGCCAAAGGTTGCCGTGGAAAAGTTAGATTAACCACATGTTCTAGCTGTTTAGAAAGTTCTGATTTTACTCGCCGTATATAGGCCGACTCCAGCTACCGCAAAGTCCGAGTTGTTCGTGCCCGAACAGATACCCGAAAGGATGCTTTAGGGTCGACATGCTACCATTCTACAAAATGTATGTGGATGATGTTTTTGCTATTGTCAAAGACACTAAAGATACTGACATATTGCCTGCTCTTATGCATAACCTAAACCCAAAGATCAAATTTACAATGTAGAAATAACAATACAACCAAATATTCTTCCTGAACCTTCTTATGTTTGGACAGGACGATGGTTCCATAGAACGTTCCATTTTTCAAAGGATACGTGGAAAGGGCAACCCTTGCATTTCTTGAGTTTTTACCCACAAGATGGAAACGGCACTTAGTGTACACTCTAGGAACAGTTGCTCTAATGACACACATCAATAAAACTCTGCTTATGCCCCGATATCCTGCACGCTTAATCAACAAGTAAAACTCTACGCTTCAAACAGTGACAAAATATTCAGTTCCGAAAAAGCCCGTTTTTAAATCCTTGCCCTTTTAGGGTGACAGTATTTAACAGTAGGTGACCGATCTCAAGAAATGTTGTCTGAAATTCTAAAAAGCGTTTTCAATTGGAAAGGATTACTTGGTCGCGGTTGTAATACTGATTATCCTGCGGCTTAATCTTAGAACAGTTAGGACTCGGCAGGATGTCAGCTTTTGAATACACGGCTTTTCAATTTCCTGTAGAAACTGTACACGGGAAAAAGATGACTAATTTAGTAGCATGCATTTTCCCATTGATTTACGATGGTTTTGCAAGCTCAAATATATCTTATAGAAACCATAAACAAAAATATGCTTTTTTTGGTAAATTAAAAGAAAATCAGGCCTTCTTTATATTTTTTACTCAAGGAAGGAGTATAATTAGGTTAAAAAAGTTTTTTATTATGAGATTTTTAAGACCGCGCAATGTCCCTTCACATAGCATCGTACCTGGCCTTTTACCACAGCTCCTCATGAAATATACAACATAATCCGCATCCATTGCAAAATTTTATGGACTCTGCATAATATCTTTTTAATGGCATAGAAAAATATGCGATTTACTTTACGCGGGACGCATGCACTTTGTAGGCTGAAACCACTAAGAGCTAACGCAACAGATGATCAGGTTCCAAATTATTTGGCAATTAAAAAACTTTTTTTAAACCTAATTATAAAATTTCCTTGAGAATAAAATATAAGGAAGACGTGATTCTCTATTTATTGAATAAAAGAAAGCATATTTTTATTTATGGTTTCTATAAAATATATTTGAACTTGCAAAACCCTCGTAGATCAATGGGAAAAATGCATGCTACTTAAGCAGTCATATTTTTCCCGAGTACGGTTTCTACAGGAGGTTAAGAAGCGATGTATTCAAAAGCTGACATCCTGCCAAGTCTGACATTATATAAGTTTATGCCGGAAGCTAATCCTTATTATAACCACGACCAAGTAATCCTTTCCAATCAAAAACGCATTTCAGAATTTCAGACAACATTTTATGAGATCGGTCACTCACTGTAACTATTATTAAACGACGTCTGCATTGCACCATTGAAAGGACAGACAATACGGCTGAACGTATATCAGGCAATCCTACCAGGTCTCTTCTAATTCCGCACGCGAAAGAACCCTTGTAAATTTGCGATACTTCAAAATGTGTTTATGAATTCACATGCACATGCGGATGCAAAGGCACCTGACAAACAGGTATATTGAGCCCCTGCTTAGATGGCTTCTAAAGCAAATAAAAAGGGAATCCCGCGTTCCTACATTACAAAACACCTGCTTTATAATGGTCAGTCTGTCGACCCTAAAACTGCTTTCCGAGTACCTTTTCGGGCACTAACAAATCGGACATTGCGTAACCTGGAGATGGCCCATATACGGCGAGTGAAACCAGGTCTTTCTGAAAAGCTGGAACAGGTAGTTAATCTTCAGCAGGTGAACTAAATCATGAAGTGTCAACCAAAATTTCCAAATGCATTTTCGTTCCGAAAAGAACAATTAAGAAATGGTGCCAAATTTATCATCATGCAGCATAATTCTATAATAATTCAGCTATCCCAGGAGGTCGGCTTTTGAATACATTTTTTTCTCGGTTGAATGCAGGAACTATAATTTGTAAAAAACCACCACTTAAGTAGCATGCATTTTTCTCAATGATCCTCGACGCCCTTAAAAATTTAATCATATTTCATAGAACTCATGCATCAATCTATTCATTTTTTGCTCTTTAGGTAACAAATTACGTCTTCTTTCAATTTTATACTCGGTGAAAGGGTATAATACGGTTTTAATAAAGTTTCTAATTGTGGGATTTTTAATACCGTGTCTTGTAAAGTTAAAAATATGGCTCAAGTCCATTGCTCAACTGTATGAGCCCCATATAGTTCCCTCTTAATACCGTAGAGAAATGTGTGGTTTGCCGTACATGAAATTATACAGTTTGTGGTTTGAAAACCCCGAAATTTAATTATTCGAAAATTAAAAAAAGTTTTTGAAAACCGAATTATACTCTTCCTTCGAGAATAAAATTGGAAGAATGCATGCTATATGAGTGGTCTTTTTTTCCAAAGGATAGTTCCTACATTCAGTCGAAAAGTAATTAATTTAAAAGCCGACATCCAGAGGTAGCCGAATCATTATAGAATTATGCTACATGTTGATTAATTTGGTAATCTTTCGTAGTTACCCTTTTCGTAAAAAAGATGAAGTTGGAAATTTCGGTTGACATTTCACGAGTCAGCCCACCCGCCGTAACTTTGCCATGGTAACCTATAGCTTCATGATTTCCACATTCCTCTCTTTTCTTGATTGTTAACGTTTTTTCCACTATTCCTTCCTTGTTGCGTTAAGGTGACTAGTATTTTCGATCAGTTAGCATTACCCAAAACCATGACCTTATTGTTTCTGTATTGACTGTCTGTACGCATTCAAACTGTTGTATTCATCTAACTTGCTATCTGTGTTATTAAGCGACAGGTCGTAGCTGATGAGCCGTCGAGAAATTTTTTGGTAACGATAAATCCTGCCGTGCATGCTTGTTTCAGCTTGCAGACAAGTCCCCTTTGGCATCCTTCTTTTGCTTGCATCAGCCAGCAAACAAATCCAGAGGCGTCAAATAATTATACTCTGATATATCTAATGGGTGGACGAACTAGTGCTGAACAATCTGATTGTCGTTCTGACGGTCGCGATGTTGTTCGCTATCTCAAAAATCTGTGCTGCAGGAGCGCAGTAGTCGCCAACAGTCAAGTACGGACAACCTACGTTTTTCAGCCGTCCATATGCACCACCATCAGCAGTTGAAAAAAAGTTAACGGCCATGCTACTGACGTTTGAATCTATTTTTTCCTGGTATGAATTTGAAAAAGCATTCGCAGCAAGATTTTTTGGAAGTAGCACACGTCATGGAAGCTTGGGGACTGCAACATGTCCCTGAATAACACAGATAGCGAGCAAAAAAACAAACAGCCATTAGACCTTGTGCAGAAAAATCAGCCTAAGGCACAATGCTAGTGTTAGATTAATAAATGATAAAAGCTACTTAAAACGCAATTAAGGGGAGAAAAAGTTGCAAAAGCTAACAGCCAAGAGTGGGTGTGTAAATCTGTGGAATGAGGATTACTAGGGCAAGCTGAGGCTGCCCACGTGGCATAGGTGGGATTTCTCCCGGTGTATGTAAGCCGACCCTAGTTAGCGTAATGTCTGAGTTATTCGTGCCTGACCTAGTACTCGGAAGGATGTTTTGGGGTCAACGGAGTGATCACTGTCTAGGACGTTTCTCGTGATAGCACAGCGGAAATTGTTTTTTTTAACTTCTACAGATATTTAAACAAACTTTTAACTGGCCTGCCCAATGCATCTGCGTCTACAAGCACAATCTGAGGTGACGTACAGTGCGTGACCAATATCACGAAATGCTGGCTGAAATCCTGAAATGTGTTTTCAGTTAGGAAGGATTACTTGGGTGGGATTGTAATATTGCTTATCATGAGACATAATCCTATAATCTTTCGGACTCACCAGGATGTAAGCTTTTGAATGCACTTCTTTGCACCCTCCTATAGAAGCCACACTTGGTATAAAATTGCCACCAAATAGAATGTAATTTTCCCTTTGATTTTCCATCGTTTTATCAACTCAAAAACATCTTACAGAAACCATGCACAAAACAGACTTTCTTTTACTCGTTTGGTAGAAAATCACATTATCTTCACAGTTTGTACTCGAAGACGTGTTATCTTTCGGTTTTTAAAAAGTTCCTAATTATAACATGTTTAAGACCGTGTGCTGTCCATATATACAGGATCGCATATGCCCGTTTAACAGTGTTCCTTATGAAACGCACAGTATGGCCAGCATCCATTAGAAAATCTCAACGAACTCCACGTGCTATCTTCCTAAATGCATAGGGGAATATAGGATTATTCTTACACGGATGGCATGTACCTCGTAGACCAAAATCGCTAAGCGCTAATGCCACGGCTGCTCTGGCTCAAAATTATTTGCGAACTGGGAAGCTTTTTTCAAAACCTAAATGAACGCTTTCTTCGACATAAAATTTAAAGACGATGTGATTTCCTACCAAATGAGTAAAAGAAAGCATATTTTATGCATGACTTCTGTAAGTTATATTTGAATTTATAAAACCATCAATAAGAAAAACGGGTGCTCCATAAGAAGTCATTGTGTACCAAGTGTCGTTTATGTAGAAGGTCAAAAAGAAGTGCATTCACAAGGCTACATCCTGGTGAGTCCGAAATACTATAGGGTTATTTCGCATGATAAGCAGTATTACATTCCCTCCTAAGAAATCCTTTATAGTCGAAAACACATTTTAGAATTTTAGATAACATTTCGTGAGATCGGTCACGCACTGTATAATGTCAAAATATCCGTTTTCGGTGGAGGTGGGATATCTTTAGTAGGACTGCTGAATGTGGGTTCGGCTGCATTGCACGTCCTTTAAATGGCGCATTTCGATCGTCACTTGATTCTAATTGAAATGATGCCATCGTTTAGGGGCAAGGATATTTTACATCATTCTAAAAGAAACTGAGTAGTCTGTGAGGTTTTACAATAAGATATTTCTGTGCTCTTGAATGAGACGTGTTGGACCTCCACTTTTAAGGAAGGTTGCTGTGGAGCTGACATTTTCTGCATCTAGCGTCTTAATGGGACAATATTTTTCAGTCTTCGGAAGGTCGTATACACCTGTTTTTTTCATTGTATTCGCGCAAAGCTCAGGAGGCGTAAATATTGATCATTCGTTATCTGTGTCATGCAGCGACACGTTGTAGTCGAGAAGCTGTCGCGAAGTTTGTTTGCGCCAATAAACTCTGCTATTGACATTATTCCCTATCTACTCAGCGCTGAAATAGCTAAGCGCAAATTACATCAGAAAATTGCGTTATTTTTTACCCTCCTGTCCTCCGCGAAATTTTAATGAGGCGTGGTCCGCCTATTTTATTACCTCTAGGTATTCTCATTTCTCATTTATTTCAAACTTACAAAAGTGCCCAACATTGCGGTCATTTTTATGGAAGGTGCCGGTGAGTTGCTAACTGACATAATTGGTAAGTAGCCCACTGAAGTAATGCCCTGATGACTTTACTTGGCCGCAAGTTTTGGTTCCGAGCAACCTGTGACCTCCTTCTCTTGACCTAAATTTATAAATCCATTAACCGGCCTACTTATCAGAAGAGTTAAATACAGTCAGTGACCAATCGCATGAAGTATTAACAGAAATTCTGAAGTAAGCTTACGATTGAAGCTGATAGCTCAAGTGGACTTATAATATAGATTATCAAGCAGCATAATCGTGAGGTATTTTAGTCACGTCAAAATTTCACCCTTTGAATGTACCGTATTTCACCAGACTGCTTAAATAGCACTTGGTAAACAATGGATACGTAACTTACGTGATTCTTCTTGTAATATGCCATGTCCTTCTAAATTCAGATATTTCCTAGAAACGACTGACTAAATTATTCTTTGTTGCGCTTAGTTGGTAGCCACAAACGTCCTTTTCACGTTCCCTTTCTTAAAAGAAGGTTCATCAGATAAAAACAAACAGGCGAGTTCCGGAAAAAAATTAGAAGAGGAAAAAGATACGATCATTGGCCAATAAACTTCATGTTCCAGCGATTACATCTACTCCTTCTGAAGGTATATATTTTGATTTCAAAAGTTTGTAATTATGAGATTTTTCATACCATGTGGTGTCAGTTCATGTAGCATCCAACCTGCCAGTTACACAATTGCAGTCTTCCACTCGGCAATTTTATGGGCTCCATATAAAATCTTCTTAACGACACACACGATGCATAAATTCCCTTACATGGAAAGGTTAAACGCAAGAGGTTATAAATGACAAAGGAAAGTACGGCGGTATTTTGTCAGATTTCAAATAATTCACTTTGACACAACTATGCAAAAATCGGTGCCTTGTTGGGATTTGAACTCACGACAGGAAGAGGAGGCTTTAGTACAGCCAACACTCTAGTCATCTGAGCTCCGAGGCCCCACCAGACGACGCGAGCTTAACCCCATTTGGGTCAAGTTTACCTACTACATTATCCGGAATCCACTAAATCCGATGCAGTACGCAGACTGCCCAAGCAGGATTTCCTAATAAATGCATCTTGAATTCACCAGATGACTAACAGTCTCACCTGGATTATTTGAAATCTGCCAACACAACCCCAAATTACGTGAGCCTGGTAGTTATCTGGTGGATTCAAGGTGCATTACTTTGGAAATCCTGCTTGGCCAGTCAACCTACTGTATCAGATTTGGTGGATTCCAGTCGTTGCAGTGGGTTGGGCGGGTAAACTTGACCCAAATATGATGAAGCTCGCGTCGTCCGGTGGGGCCTCGAGCTAAGATGGTTAGAAGGGTGACTGTACTAAAGCCTCCTCTTGCTGTCGTGAATTCAAATCCCAACGGCACACTGAGTTTCCCACAGTTGGATCAGAGTGAACGGAAAACACATCGGGAAATTGGTGTTAAAGTTATTCAGGAATTACAAGCTTCTGTGAAACACACATATACAATATCCAACATTTGATAGAGAGATGGTCAGCTACCAAACAAATGCAAGAAAAGACTTTCTCCATGCATGGTTTCTTTCAAATATACCACAGTTTAAATGGGAATCAAAAACAGGTAAGATGTGGTTATGTAGTCGCAACTGATGGACACAATACTGTTGACCTACTTAACTTTTTAAGTTAGTGCGATTACGTTGACGTGGCGTTGCTGTGCGTCGCGGAGCGTGGTTTGTTAACGGCCTTGCTTCTTTGTTTCCGTATCAACCTTTTTGGTTCAATGGAGGTAGTCCTTCCTGACTTTTGGCCTCTCATCTCCTTACTTTTGCATTGGATGTTTCAGGATTAAGCTTTGGGGCCGCGGTTAAGGGTCAGGGTTAAAGGGTGAGGATCAAGGTTATGGCTAGTCTTAGGGGTTAGGGCTCAGGATTCGGGTAAGGAGTTGAGGGTTAGGATTAAGGCCAAGGACAAGGGGTAAGGGTTAGGGGCTATGGTTAGGGGTTAGGGTTAGGTTTTACGGTCTAGGATTAGGCCTAGGGGTCGGGTTTAGGGTTGGGAATAAGGGTTGGTAGTTACGGTCAGGGATTAGGGTTAGGGGTTAGCGTTAGGGGTTAAGGTCGGGAGTTAGGGTTAGGGCAACTATTTTTCAACCACCCAAAGTACAACCCCACATTTCCAATAGCTTTTCTTTTACGTACAAGTACTTGACCTCCTCACCTATGCCTTCCCGGCCCGACCTGTAAAAGCCTCTATTACCGCTGGTCCTGTATTAATGGTGGTGAGGTGTTGTTTACCATAGGTGCGGCTACATAGCCAAATCTGACCCTCAAATAAATTGAAACGGGTATGCAAGCTATAAAGCCATTTTTTCCTAATGCGGCCCATGCAAGCGGCTAACATAAAGCAAATTCATAAGCCGACCTCTTACTGCATGATGATCCTTATTACAACCCCACGTAGATAGTCCTTTTGTTCGAAAACCCATTTCCATATACCTCGTAGCATTTCTTGCAATTAATTAATAACTTCATATATGCACACTGCAACCCTATGGTCGGCACGTAGACGAGACTACTCGTAAAAATTAAATGTACAACGATTTCACAGTTTGAAACTAGTTGGGGCTGTCGTGTAGGCAACTGGAAGTCGTCTGTCAATGAAGGGACGGTCGAAACGGTCTCTACCAATGTATCGAAAACTGTTAAATAATGCAATACGCTGGTCGCTGGCGCAAAAATCTTGTCTACTGGCATGATCAAAATCAAAGTGGATTAAAGTCGAATTGTGCCCTCGGGAATCGCATCATATGCACAGTGAAAAATACTACCGCATCACTTGGCGGATGGAGACAAATCACAGAAATGCCAAAATCCAGCCAAATAAATGAACCTTCTTGGGTTATACTTTGAGTTTATCAAAGCAGGGATACCCAAATCAAACACTTGTACTGAGGCCTGCCAGTCGCCAAAGTATAAGCATTATTCTTAGTCGAGGCGGGCTGTGCATTCACTTCCCTGTCGGCCCCTAGACAAAAAAGGTGCATTAATGTCAAACTGGTCGGTTCTTTGATGGAAGTCTTGAAGGGCCATGCCTGCGTAACCCTGGGAGAAAAAAGGGTTTGAATGCACCGTCAGTTTGTCATGTGTTGACCTCAGTTTTTTAGGCGATTTTTAGAGGCCCGGCAGCGTCCCGGAGGCTCTTGTTGTCAAAGGCAGAGGCGGCAGAAATGTCAAGTCCTCTGTTCATCAATGCATTTTGTGCCTTCCCTGTGGTAATGCTGCTTCCCCCGCCAGTCAAGTAAGCACGCCATCCCCTCCTTTTCCCTGGCATTTTTTTCTACGCTACACTCGCTTTAAAAAGCAACGCCATAAATGTCTCCTGTACTACTTTTTAAAACTACTCGACTTGGTGACGCAAAAGATTTAAAACTCGACAGATGTTTCTTGTTAAGGTTGAACAAAAAGATTGCTTCTTCATGAATGTGGAAGCGTTTGAACGCGGGTGCTGAGATGTGAAGAAGCTTGGATTAGGACTGAGTATTCGTATTTTAAACATCTGCGTATTTACCGCGTTAAATAAGTCCCGGTCTCATCAGCCTCCCTTGTACTTCGGTTTTCGCTTTTTTGTCAGTAAGATGACTTTCAGATGGTGTACTTCTTCATTCATTTTAAGATTTGTGAAATCCCCATTGTTATATTCACAAGACAAGGTGGCGAGCGAACAGTACTTTCGATAACTTCTTGGCTGGCTAGTACAGTTAGGGACCTAAAATGTGTGTTGAAGTCGGACAAGGAGGATACTCACCTGCATTGGTAGTATGTCTGATGTTTGCAAATTGCCTAAGACATTATGTGTCCTAAGTGGCTAAAATGCCTTGATAATTTGAATGTTCTCTACATCGATTAATGGAGTCAACCGTTTACATTTCCGCCTACTTCTTTACTTGTGTGTTTATGTCTTTAGGGAAATATCTGTAAGAGTTAAAATGAATTGTATTCGTTATCGGGTTGCACCAGTATTTTGCGGTAGCATGACTAATGAACAATCCCTCAAGTGGCTTTAAATAATTCTACCTTGCCACAGAGCGGTTTATGCAGCGGCAATTAAACGCATAAGCTGCAGTGGCCGTGAGTGTGTGAAATGCCTTTCTTTTGACTTTCTTCATTTATATGCTCAGTAGAAAGCATGGTCTTAGGCTGAATACGTTAAAACAAACAAAGCATGGAGGATGTTGTAGGTAGAACCGGACATGTCATTAAATCCGACAAATTTCTACGTGAATAAATGCTGTGGAGCAAAGACGATCAGAGTGGAGCTTTATATAAACAAAAGCTCTTGAATCAGGCCTCACCCAGAATTGATATACGGATTTTCGAAATTGTGGAGCGTTATGCCATAATACTAACTGAAGTTTTAAACGCAGCAATTTGTTTGGCCGCAGTGGGAATTGAAAGGGGTGAACAAACACAGGAGTACGACCCCAACAGTCTACTGCTAATTTCTTTCACGAAGAGGTCAATGTACTTTTGCTCTCTCGTGGTTTTAAGGCAAATGTAAACCTTTATGGCAAATAAACCTCAGTATTGGCCACCTAGGTATTTTCAGTACTAATTTAGCAATTTATTAATTGATTTGAAGTGGTAGAGGCATGTGCAGACATGAACAGGGGGATAAAAGCGGTTTACATAAAAAGAAAGATGTATTTTATTGGTCATACAGCAAATACAGGCTTCTTAAGACTGCTTGCAGAGCTCATTTACCAGCGTTGTTTCAAAATACAATAAGACGAAGCGTATGAGACTCTGATTCTTAACTGCACATAACCACACCAAGAGGTTTTAAGTAGGATCAGTCCAGAGATCCTTTTTGGGCTAGATCGCAGTTGGCAGCCAGGAATGGAGAAGCTGACGGTGACCTTAACCCTAATCCTAACCCTACCCTTAACCCAAACCTTAACTTTAAACGTTAACCGTTAACCCTAACGGAAACCTTAACCCCAACCCTAACCCCAACCGAAATCGTAACCGTCGCCGTAGCCCTTAGACATAACCCCAGCAGTAAAACCTAACCGTAATATTGAAACCTAATTGTAAACTCGAACGCTAACCGTAACCCCAAACCCTAGGCCTAAATGGCATAACTCTAACCCGGAAATCGGACACCATAAACTGGTACCCTTATCCTAACCTCAAACGTAGAACGGAAGCCAAATGAGTGAGATGTGATTACGTAGCACCACAAAAAACCCCAATAAGCAAACCCCCTACTACCTGTAATACAGGATCTGGCTACCAACTGCGATCTAGCCCCTTTTTGTTGACTAAGGTGTACTTTTGACGATAGGATTCATTCTTGAATGACCCAACCTTCCATAATAAATGTTGTTTCCAAAAGTGGTCAATGAAAATGGTAGGCGGCGGTTCCTCGAAAAAGTGGCTTTTCAATGTGATTACTTTCAAAACTGGGTTGGACGAGCATGGAGTACGGAGAGGGCCTACCAGGAGTTAGACAGGTCACCATCAACAGCAGAAAGGTATGCACCGACGTCCCAAAGAATTCTGTTGTTGGGACGACACTCAGGGACGAAAAACGACTACGACAGTTTTGAAGGAGAATCTGCCGGCTCACAACGTATGCAAAAAACATTTTCAGAAACTTAAACTTCACAAACTCTCCCCTCCTACGTTCGGGAAGTAAATACAGACTACCGTTGGAGGCCACATCAATGTGCATTTATTCATTCACTTGCTCCTGTGGAGCAGGATGCATCGGCCGCACAACGAGACGCCTGGTTAAGAGGGTGCGTGAACATATGCCCGCCTGGCTAGACAGAGGTGAGACCCGGTCGATTTCGAGTTCTATTCTCGCGCATTTAATCAATACGAACCGCCGAGTCGATGCCAAGAAAGCATTTCAGGTCGTCTACCGGACACCAACATGCTTCTCTAAAGGCCTACGCCAACGGATACTAGCAACGGCAGTAGCTATACGGTTAGTGAATCCGGTGTTATGCTGTCAGAAAACGCTGACACAAGCGCTTTCGCTGCCGTGGCCAACGCCAACCCCAAGTGATGAAACCATGCCGCCTCAAATCCCTAATCACGATGATGGGTACTCCGTGTACTCCACTCAAGAACATCACTCAAAGACTCTCTTACCCCCCTCCCCTAGCTCTGACGACTAACACCCGCCGACCTTTTCATGCGGGCGGCGTGGGGATGATGAGTGTTAGTGACTTAATAGCCCTTGAGACATCTATAAACACTGTTGATTTTGTACATTTTCATTCCTTCACGTAATTGTATTGGCCTGACGAAGAATTACCGAAAACGCGTGCTCGCCAACTTGACTTTTCAATTTTCAAAAATGCCCGCTGTAACTATCAGGCTGTTCTAGACATGTGCCTGCTCTTTCATGCGGCATGGGAACAATTTTATTCCTCCATACCACTCACTTACTACAACTATTAAAAACAGTTTCGTATTTATCCGAATTGAGTAAACGTATTTTAATGCGAAAAATTCATTAATGAACAAGAACATTTTGCATTCTTACAAAGTACCTCAATTTCAAATTTGCCATTAAGTTTTATTACCGTCCCCTCAATTATGAACCATGGCAAATAAGTAAAAAATTAATTGATTGCAAGACACATTTTCTGTAGAGCTATATAAGGACTCTCCTTTTACACCTCTAAGTGCATTAGCAAGAAATAAAACTCAATTTTGAAGCTTACCAGGGCTGGTTGTCATAGTAGTCGATGATGGGTTCCTCGCCATTTAGAAACAAGAAGACGAATTTCAATTTAAGGCAACTGGTTGTGATTCTTCAAAGCACATGACCCGGCTCACCAAACCGGAACGGCTGACGGAAACAACGGTTTCCCTTAAATTGCCTTATTGCTGCTTTCAATTGGATGCCCACAAAAAGAGGATGAATAAGAAGCTGGTAGGCAGCAGTAAAATCCAATCAAATTCTTTTCGAATACTTTAACTTATAAATACACATTCAGCCTGTCCACTTACATTTCTGCGTATGTTTCGCCTGCTCTAGGTCAGGCGACAAGCCATCACGCGTAGGTCTTTAGCACACAGCAAAATCTCTACATAATAACTCATTAAAAAAAACAAGGTATTCCCAGAGAGATGGGTCCGGTGGTCTCGATTTGCGTCAATAAGCCGACGCTCGACCACGCGATTTTACGAGCTTTTATCATGGAATTTCGCGAGTGAATCTGATGACAGTGCCTCAAACGCCCGAAAATAGTTATGTTCGTCGGACCAGCTAATGGGTGCTTCTTAAACTCATATGCTTTCGCTTTACGAAAACGAGACTAGAGGTTGAATAATTCAGCATCAGACGTGCTACAGCATCACCCGGTCGCATCCCCGAATCGAACATGAAGCGTCACCTATTCTTCTAAATCTGGGTTGTAAACTGGTCTTCGCAAAACACAGGTGGTTGGGAACGGTTTATTTTGCATAGTGGCTCCAGCCCGGAGATCTGGCCGACATCTGCATTGGCACACTCAGTGATTTATTCATAGTGCTTCCGATTTTTAGGTGCAAACTAGTTCATGGTTATTTCCAAAACATCACGCCTCATTTTCTACTCCTGCATGTTGGCTGTCTGATCAATATGTGCATTAATTTGCGGTGCATGACTTATCAGGAAAAGTGTAGGACCTTCTTGGATAAAACCAAGTGTTACTGTTAATTTGAGGTGGGGAAAACTGTCCAGTTTGAGCAAATTAATCATATTCTCTGCAGCCGATTCCTTCAATTTAAACAATGATAGAGTGCCTCCGAATAGAAAGATGCAGGAATGCCTTATACGAATTGGTGCCTAGCAAAAATAAATTAGCTGTTTTCTATATTGCAGTGTCTCAATACAGTCAGACGAGGCTTGCACACCGAGACGGTTTCAGGACTGGAGTATTGACGCTGCACAAACTGGGCATGATTGCCGTTACCTTCAATCTCCCACAAAATTAAAGGTCCACGGTTTTAAGTTATAACTTATTTTCAGCTCTGGTAGTGACCTTTTTATCCGAGTATACATGCGTACGCAGAATAACGCCACCTACAGCGATAAGAAAGGCAGAAATGACTATTTCGGGCTTATTATCCGTTATCAGCCGGTCGTACCGGCCCCCGAATTTTACGACTCCAAGGTTCGGACCTGCTTTCTGCTTGTTGTAAGTCCAACATTCTAATACTGGCTGGTTGTCATGTTAGTTCCGACCAGGCATATTAAAAATGATTGTCGGCACAGTTACTCTGCCCAAATCACTAGGTGCCGTGCGGCTGTTGGCAGGACACTAATTTGAACCTCGCGGACCCTCCATAACGCGATCGGTGAATACGCACCTATTGAAATACATGCGCTTATATATTTTGGAAATCGAGTAAATGACCGTCGTATCTCTTCTTAAAGACTTCAGGTGCATTTTAACATCAATTTGACGTGGTTTTGAAAGACTGGGCGGCCTCGATGTATTCAGAATACACGACAGTGAGGGAACGGTATAGTGCGGCTAAAGCTCTAACTGTAAATTTCAGTACTAATCTTTGTTAACCGTTACGGGTGACATTTAAAGGCGGTAATGGACATCCAGGGGCAAGTCTTGAACTGCTTAATTGTTCTATTTTAGGCCAATTCATAAGAAACAGTATCAGCAGCTACGCTTGAAGTAATCGGTAGCATGGACTTTGAAAATTGCGGAATATTCTGGTCCCTCCATCGGAGACCTAAATCATGTAATATGCCTAATAAAACGAAAAGGCACCAGCCAATCCGACACTGGTCCGAACGCAACGACTAAAAGAAGAGACTACTAACGGACGACCTCCAGTTAAGCAAAAACAAAATATAAGTATTGTAAGTACAGTCCGTTGACGAGAAAGAACAATAGCTTTAAAAAATGTAAATGTCAAAAGCCCGAAAACGCATGTTGCATGAAAGGAATACAATCAAGGTAAACGTCATGATTCTGCATGCAAACAATCGACCAAGTTAAACTCTTAAACGAAAATTATGTTTAAAAATTGTTTTATGCATAGGTTTTCATTACATATTCTTCAGGAGATGAATTATATGAAGTCTGACATAGAATAAAGTATGCAATTTTCGGCCACATATTTCACGATTATGCCGCGCAAAATAGACGTGCCTTTTGTTTTCGTATTATTCATTCTTCGGTTATTTAAAACAAAGAGGGCATCTTTTGATCTTGCTGACAGATATGTAATAAGAAGAAGAGTGTCAATAAAGTGAAGTCTTGACTAGCCGTCTAGTGGCTACCATCTATGAGTAAAAGTGGCAGCTGTAATCTCATAGGTACTATTTTGTGTGAATTAAAGCAACTGGTCTTTCATTAGATTTATTTGCGGCTTCTTTCGGTTGAGTTTTATATTGTCCTTAAAATATCCCTTGACACTTCTAATTCTCAGTGCTTCAACCGGTGGAGTTTGCGCTAGACGTCTATTAAACTTTAAGATAAGAATATTTTAAAAACATTTACAGAGGCAGAATGTGCTCGAGCGCCCTTTTTTACGCAGTTGGCTGTTTAGATCATACTCACTGACGCAGCCAAATAGGCAGCCTCATTGTTTAAAGAAGTGATCTTCCCCACTAAAGCCAGCAAAGAATACGTTTGCGATCAGATAAGGAACTTTTTCCAAATACTTGCCTTATTAAACATGCTTGCATACTGTATCCCATTGATAGATCTCTACGTAATCTGTATTTTTAACGGCAAAGCCAATCGAAAATTACTATACCTGGCCACTTACTTGCGCTCCTAGTATATTGAGAATATTTTAGTCAAACGATAAAGCTTAGTTCTCTCATTGTATTGCGTTCGCTTCCGCCAATTTCGTCTATTTTAAGGCTTCCTCCAACAATTATAAGTACAAATGATAGTGGCCATATGAATGCTGACATAGTGCACAACCCGTTACATTTTTCGTGACGTTCTAACTCTGGCATAAGGAGGAGCTAGGCTGCAAGAACTATCTCTCCTTATGCGCAAAATTTGAATGACCATTGGATGATCGCTGGTGGGCTGTTACTTAAAATACATTCCCAAATGGCAAGACCGTATTAGCAGGACTGCCAATACGCGTTGTCAATGCTCAGTAGAGCACTAAATAATATCGACCTGCAAATATGACCTTCAAAAATTAATAACACGTCACGTTTACTAAAAATGACATGTTTGCTCGCGACATGATTTCTACAGCTCAAGTCTCATAGAAAATCGGTTTGCAAGTGCGACATGGTCCGCTAGGTGGACCTGCCGAGTTTAAATTACTCTCCTACTCTCAGAACTATGTTTTACAAAGGCACTAACATGGGTGGTCGCAAGGACATGTGATCATGTAGATTTTTGCCTAAAATCAAAGGTGCTTTTTCTGATAAAATTAAATAAACTAACTGACGAATATTGCACAATAGCCTTGGAGTCAAAAGACTATCAGGCCCCCCATGATGTTTCATGAGTTAAGTCACGTTCTGCATTTCCGGAAGTAATTAGGCGGATGGGGGAAGTGCGTAACAGTTCAGACGCCAAAATTGTCATATGAGGTCTCGTCATCACGTTACACGAGTCAGGTCAAAAGCTGGATTCCAGTCTTTTGCACATCACGTGAATTTTACTGGGAGGCGCAGCACACTTCACAGGAACATCGCTACCCACTCAATACACCGTGCTGAGACTTCGTCTAGGCGGAGTAATTGGCCACGCGGGGAGCGCACAGGTGAACACTCTTCCCAACACCCGGCTCAGCGCGTCAGATGGTCGAGCAATCATCACACCAACATCCAACGCACGTGGTGAAATTGCAGCAATTAGCGACGCGAATGTCGGCCATCACGCCACGTGCAACGATCCCTGATGAAGGGGGGGGGGGAGCCGTGAATATTCATAGGTATGCGGTAGCATGGCTACTGCAGCCGCATATTCATGAACCACCCTTATCTGCTTTTGTCTATGATGATGGATTAGAGCAGAAATCCGAAACGTCAGGCTAATAAAGCTCTTGTCCCGACGATCCTGTCTTATTTTGTGCGTATTAAGGCAACTGCTCTCTCTGTTGAGTTTTAGATCGTCCCTAGAATATCCGCGGATACTTTATAATTCTCAGTGTTTTAACTGATGGAGTTTGCGCTAATCGTTTATCAAAACTTTAAGACAAGATTTTTCTTGGAAATATTTATCGAGGCAGCAGGTGCTTGAGCGCCCTTTTTACGCAGTTGGCTGTTTGGATCATACAGTGCGTGACCTATCTCATGAAATGCTGGCTGAAATTCTGAAATACGTTTTCGATTAAGAAGGATTAATTGGTCGCGGTTGTGATAATGATAACCATAAGGCATACTCTTATAACATTTTGGACTCGGCAGGATGTCGGCTTTAAAATGCACTTTTTTTCAATCCCCTGTAGAAAGCGTGCTCGGTAAAAAATGACTACTTATATAGCATGCATTTTGTCCCATTGATTTTCGATGGTCTTGGAAATTCAAATATATTTTTTAGAAACCACAAACAAAAATACGCTTTCTTTTAGTCAATCAATAGATAATCACGTCTTCTTTATACTTTATATTTAAGGAAGGAGTATAATTAGGTTTTAAAAAAAATGCTAATTATGAGACTTTTTAAGACCGCGATATGTCCATTCACATAGCATCGTACCTGGCCGTTTACCACTGCTCCTCATGAAATGTATAACATAGTCCGCATCCATTGCTACATTTTGTGGACCCTGTATAATAT